TTAATGTGCGTTCGGGGATTTATGGGCTTTGAAACATCCATTTTGAAACTGAATTTTGAATGTCTGCCATACAAATCAAATCTTATTTGCTGGGAACAAATGTTTTTTTAAAATTTACTTACTGTAGGTTTGGGGATGTTATTGTTGATATATAAAAAAAGTAATTAGATGTAACCGCAGAGTTAAATACTATCAGTAGAATGTGTAATACCTATCCCGTCTGTTTACATTTGTGACATGGAGAAGCAAAGATGGCGTCCAATGTGGGCTGCTGCTCACAGCTGCCAACACTTTAACAGCAAACATCTGGACCTGTGTCACAAATTATTATTAACATCTTTGCATAAACTTAATATAATTCATAGTTAATGTTAATTTACACAACAACTGTGTAGAATGGCTAGAAATTACTTTAGGAAACTATATAATGATGATCTGAACTAGACCCAGAGTCAGTCAATTAATAACTGACTTCCAGTGATTTAGAGTAGTTTAGCTGGTTAAATAAATATGACTTAGACTAACGGATTAATTTGAAACTAGCTTTTAAAACTTGGAAATTGTGTGGATTTGCTATAAAATGCACTGATCAGTGTCTAATCTACAACTAAGCTTAAAAGTACATTTTCAAAATCCATGCAAAGAGCATATAATGAATCATGATGGGAGGCAATATTGTTTTATTTAATAATTTGTATTAAATTGTTGCATGATCAGCCTATAGCTTCGTGCCACAGAAGATACTATCTTATAGCCAATTCAATAATTAGCAGCGATAACATTAACTTTATAGGCTACTTTTAAACAGTTAAATTACTAACTTCAGTTCTGGTCGGGTCACGTTCACACTGAGTTAAACAAGATGAAATCTGATTACTTGTGATTAACGGTTTCCCTTCTATTCTGTTGCCAACATCTGCAGCATACACAGCATTTTAATGTAAATTTTAACATTACATTATTATAGTGCATACACTTTATTATTATTACTGACATATATTTACTCAGTGAACAATGCCAAGTGCAGAGGTTTGGCTGTCTTGGCCGACATAGCTTCAGTGAATCAGAACGTCACGTGACCAGTGCGCCCTCCAGTGTTTCATCCAACCATGAGCTAGTGGCTTGATTATATGCTACAACGTTCTGCCTTACATTAAATTGGAAGTCCTACATAAGTTTTCACATCTTCCTGACAGGTAGCTTTATAAACTAGATCCTCAAAAGACCCCTGATTTAACAGTTTTAATTACTGGTACTTCTTTCCATACATGTACTGCATGTGTAAATTATATTTATACACGTTAAAAAAACCCTCCATAGTTTGTGTTTTTGCAGTTACAATCACAATAAATCACTTTGTTTATTTAGGATGTCTTTAATTACAATAAGGTTATAGGATGAATGAATAAACTAAGAAGAAAAAAGAAAAGAATGAAAAGACCCTCACCGGAAGTGTTCACACAAACACCCACTGCTGCCATCTTGTGTTTTGATTGAGTGCAGCTGCATTAAGTACATTTCTCATCTAAAAAAAAAGCTTCTTTCAAACAGTATGTGTGACTCTTATTATCTACTTATGATATTTCAAGAGGAAATAAAACCTTTGAATGTGTCTTAAGCTGCAGAGTTCTGCAATATCAAGTAAAATACAATAATTATCAATGTCTTCTTCTTTTGGCTTTTCCCTCTTCAGGGGTCGCCACAGCGAGTCATCCTCCTCCATCTCACTCCAACTATCCATGTCCTCTCTAACTTCATCCATATATCACCTTTTTTTTGTCTTTTTCCTGGCAGCTTTACCAACTTTTTTAGAAAACATCCTGCAGACACATTTCACTTTAACATCTTTCAAATAAATTATACTGGGGGGGGGGAATTGAAAGAGAGAATTGTTTGCTCAAAGTTCACCATGTGGCTGATTCAGAGTTGTGTTGTGCATGAGTTTCCATGTGGATGGGGAAGTTATTGTCGTTTTTAATGTGGACAGAGTGCTAGTTTTCCATCGCCACTTTTTGATAGTTGGGAGAGTCTTGAAACTTTCTCCAGAGGTGAAATCTTCAGATCTGGTTAGTGGGCATAACATATAATAACCATTTTGAACTTCAAGAGATGTGCGTGCAAACTGTAAATCAGTGAGTTTATATAAAGACTGGAGTTCTGTCGAGATGTTCTACAAACATTTACAGCATTACCTAGTCTGCATTAGGGTGGCAACTGGAGGGTAAAATATTATTTTACAGGGGCAGCTGCCACTCTGTGCCACCCTCTAAAACCGCCTGTGGTGTAACCAAAACACATTTGCACACGCACGCACACTAAAAACTGGGCTCACAATGAAGAACACCGAGCATAGCAAACTTAAAAATAGCAACAGCTGTGTATATTGTGAACGGACAGAATTTTGTAATCAAAGGCGTTGTGTCATATTGGGGCACAAAGAAACAAGTCACCTCATAAAAAAAGCTTTTTACTTTGTAAGCGCTTCTTTGTATTTACCCTGTAGGCACCCCGATTATTATTACCATGTAGTTATCATTAAGTACCTGCTAATCTGCTACATAAGGACCCTGTATTATCCTCTAAGTACCCAATATGTACCCTGTAAGCTCCTTGATATGTACTTTGTACTTGCGGTGTATGTACCATTACATACCCATATGTACCAGTAAGTATCCTGTAAGTAATCTTTCTTCTTCTTTCAGCTTTCCCCCCTTCAGGGGTCGCCAAAGCGAGTCGTCCTTCTCCATGTCTGTCCTCACTCCACCTCCCTCCATGTCCTCTCTAAATGCATCCACATACAATATCTCCTCTTTGTCTTTATCCTGGCAGCTGCATTTCTAACATCCTTCTACCAATATACCCACTGTCCCTCCTCTGGACATGTCCAAACCATCTCAGTCTGGCCTCTATAACTTTATCTCCCAGTTGTTCAACCTGTGCGGTACCTCTGATGATCTCATTCATAATCTTATCCATCCTTGTCACTCCTAAGGAGAACCTCAACATCTTCATTTTTGCCACTTCCAGTTCTTTCTCCTGTCTTTTTGTCCATGTCTCTGTCTCCAGACCATACAGCATGATCGCACATCTGTTTTCCTTTGACCTTTGCCGACACCCTTTTGTTGCAAATCACTCCTGAAACTTTTCTCCATCCACTCCATCCTGCCTGGACTCTCTTTACCACACTCCCCATTTTCCTGGACAGTGGACCCCAAGCACTTGAAGTCCTTTGTGACCTCTGCTCCTTGTAGCCTCACTGTTCCACCTGCCTCCCTCTCATTCACACGTTCTCTATCTTACTACAGCAGACTTTCGTTCCTCTTCTTTCAAGCGCATACCTCCACCTCTCCAAGTTCTCTTCCACCTGTCCCCCTGTTCTCACCACAGATCACAATGTCATCTGCAAACATAGTCCATGGGGACTGTAAGCACTCTTTAAGAACGTTATTTCATATAGACTGTGATTACCTTGTACGTACTTTGTAAGGACTCTGTATGCACCTCTTTAAATACTTTATTTGTCCTGTGAGAGCATGTTTGGTCTCCATCCCAAAAGTCTTCAGACAAAAGAAAAAGAGTATGATGGTTTTAGTTTTTAAAGGTCTCATTGCAGAACGTTGGATATCTTATATTTTACTTTGTGAAAACGCATTTTAAATTTCTGAATTGTGATTTTTCTGAGACACATGGTCCCATAAAACGGATGTTGCGACATCAACATGTCATTTGTTTTTGTATATTCTGCATTAAGACTCATGGAGGGCACAGAACACGGGGCTTTGCATGCACGTTTCATTTACATGAAAGAAATCCGTTGCACCACAGTAGAACCTTATGCAATATAAATATGTCAGTGTTTTCTAATTGAAATACAGAGGAATTAGAAAGTATGAGTCAGCCTGATGAGCATGTCCTTGTCCTCCAGCCTCTGTCTCGTCAATGGCTGCGACCAAAGGTTGAAGAGGACGGAAACGATGCAGAGGACACGCCCACATCCAGGCTGCTCCCCTGCTCGGCTCTTCCTGGATCTGACGGCCCTATCCGAGTAGCAACTTACGCCTTCCAGGCTTTTTTCACCGTCGAATCGTAAAATAAAGTCATCTTTGGTGCTCGTCGGTCAGCTCAGCGGAGGAGTTCAACAAAAAGTGGTGAGTTGTGGTGATGCGTTTCTGTAATCCAGGAATGTAGGAAATTAGCGACGTCTAATTTAAAACTGGCCTTCCGCAGGAGCAGCAGACGAATTAGTTTCCCTTAATTTTAGACCGTCTTGACTATCTTTTACATTTTTTTAAAAATATAACAAATTTTATAACGCAGTTATCCGTACTTTAGTTCGGATGCTAGCAGCTAAACAGGCTTATCTCTGGATAATGTGTAAGTTTAGCGAACCGCTTCTCGTTTATTTTCAACCCATTTAACATTACACGACATTTTGGAGTAAAAATATACCATTATAAATGTGTAGTTTGTGCACATATATACCGATATCAACCCATTACATCACTATTTTACCATTAAAAACGCGCCTTTTTTAGCTAGTTAGCAAGCTGAGAAACGAAAAGGCCCGTGATGCTGTCAAATGAAGTTTTTCTGGTTCGTAAACTTTCCAACTTAGTCGTTAATTATTATTTTCTAACTATTCGAATCAGCAATAACGCGTTAAATCTCTTCGAAATGTTTGTAGTGTTTGACGCTCTTTGGAAAAAAATACATTTGTCAAGTGCATCCTTTCTGTTTGTGAATGTTTGTTGGGGATAATAGTGGAATTTACGACAACACGTAAACGCCTCACTCCCATTTAAAAGTTTAAAATGGGGACAGTAGTTGGAAATTAGCAGGGTGTGTCACTCTGAGCACTTTCCAGGAACTCACCTTTAACACAGAATGTCTGTATTAGTCTGACTCAGTGCATTAGTGTTCTATAGGTTAAAACAAACAAAAGATAAGTTTGTCATCAACTATGTTCCCCAACAAGTATTTTTCTAGCCACACCATCCTTGTTTTAACACCAGCAGCTGATATAAAGCTTTAAAATAGCCAAACAGTGGATAGTTGAGCTGTGACTTCTTCTAAATCACAGTATGTGCTATCCAGCATGTGGATTTTTTATTATACTGTCACACCAACTTTTTTTAAAAACTAAATTTACAGTCAGATTTAATACTAATTATAAATAATATTTTGTTTGTTAGAAGATGACACATGGTATTTAAATTATCGCAAAGTTCAAACGACTCTGGCCTTTTTCCATGGGCTCCATTTCTCCAGTGGGTGGTGACGTACCCAAATATACTTGGAAGCTCTTACATTGTGGTTTCTCAGAACAGATTAGAGAAAATAACGAACAAACGCGCTCTATTGTTACAACCCAAATTCTGAAGAAGTTGAGATGTGTAAATCCAAAAAAAAAAAAAAATGATAGATTGACTTGATTTTCTAACAGGTATTTTGTTAACAGTAGAACATTGTAAACAAATCAATGGTGAAACTAAGAATTTTCTTTTGAAAGTGATTATTTTGAATTTTATTTATGCCTTGAGGGCCAATTCAAATAAGCCCCAACCCAGGTAAGATGGCTGCTCTTCTAAGTGGTGACACATATGGCTTCTAATTTGCATGCCAGAGCTTTAACTTGGATAACACGCTGTGTTTACAGACAGTGATTTGTGGAAGTGTTCCTGAGCCCAGGCAGAGGTCCAGAACAGAATCAGATGTTTTTTTTAATGCATTGTCACCTGAGGGTCTGAAGATCTTCAGCGTTGACCAGATTTGATTTGATCTTTTGCACTCAGAGATTTGTCCAGATTCAAAATGCGATTATTTGCAGACTGGTGAACCTCTGCCCATCTTTACTTCTGAGAGATACAAATGATTTAATACTGTTTATATTTACAATTTACTCAACATGTCAACTTTTGAGGATTTAAAGTTGTACATGGCTAAAATGTTTCTTAACATCATATGATTATTTTGTGTCTCTGTCCTGCCATATTTTCTGCCGTACACGTCGCACCGCTCTATAAGTCGCATCAGTCCAAATATGTCTAATAAAGTGGAAAAATCCATAAATAAGTCGCATCTATTATGCATCACTGCTGACAACACTGAAATGTGGACTGGTGTTGTGGCCAAAATCGATTGGCTGCCAAATGGTGTCCGCGGGAGCGTGCACGGGACTATAACAAGAATTTAACAAGATTAACACTTAAAAACAATTTTTTGTTTGCTCAACTTTATAGCAAAGGTGTGTCTCAGTTCAACTTTTCCTTAATAAATTCACTTTGACGGTCAAATCAGCTGCATTTCAAAAGTATTCTCTTCTTGGTGCTCTGGGTGTGTGCAGAGGGAGGAAATCAAAAAGGAGGAACGCTGCGCATTTCTTCGAAATTTAACAAGATAAGCACGTAAAACAATTCTTTGTTTGCTCGACGTTATATCAGATGTGTGTATCAGTTGAACTATTACTTAATAAATCCACTTTAATGGTCAAATTAGCTGCATTTCGCTGGGGTGGCACAGCGAAATGCCAATTGCGTCATTAATAGCCACTTTTACCTATTACATGACACAGCGACATGCCATACTACTTGAGTGCCATCTAGTGGCTGAAAATGGTAGTGTTCAATATTTTCTGTCAGAATGAATGAAAATGGTCATATCTCAGCCAAAAAAAAAAATGGTTTATAAATACGTCGCTTCAGCGCATAAATCGCAGGCATGCAAATTATGCAAACCCCCCCCCCCCCCCCCCCCCCCC